CACTCTGCTGAGATCACGTCAATGTGCTGGGTTCAGTTGGCCTGCAACATGGCAGCCCTCACTCTGCTGAGATCACGTCAATGTGCTGGGCTCAGACAACCTCTGAGAGGCCTCCTGTGGGCTAGACCCAAGAGACTTGAGATGGTCCAACATGATTCTCTTCATTTTCAATCCAGAAAACATTCAGGGATTCTCAACCCTCAGAAGGCTTCAAGCAGTATTTTGAGGGTACCACAAAGCCCCAAATGTTTCAAAATCACCTCCCAACCAGCCAGGAAAATCAATAGCTTCTTCTTTTGTCTAGCTTGAAATTCCCACTGTTAGAGTTGTTCTTTGGGGCTCACATAGATGAATGAGCAATAACCAAACATCTTACACCTATTTTCTCTGTCTAGCTCTCTATTTTTGCAACATAAACACACACACCCGAGTGCCTTCATATGTATGTCTATATACAAGGACCACCCAACCACCTGATTATACCAAAACAGCTAGATTGCACTGACTCAGCCACAAATTTCATTTTCCCCAACCATAATTGGCTCATGATGTTACTAGCCTCTTCACCTAACCCCAACCTGTTCTCAGCACCTAACCCAGTAGGCAGCTCACTATTCGCAGACTACCACTGCCACAATCCTTAACCTCGCTGTGACCACATTCACACTCACACTGTCTCAATTCTCTCCCTCTCCATGTAGATATCAAGAAGTCCCAACCCCATATGTATGGTTGTTACTCTTGTACCCAGGAAAAATCAAGAGCCTAAGGGAAGGAGAACCACAAACAGAAAGGAAGAAAAAGAAAAAGTAATCCAGACTCAGAAAGTTTTAGAGCATTAGGAAAATGTTAAGCTGATGAAATAGTTTGAACTGCCATTTTACTAAGTTTAAAGAATTACTCAAAAAAAAAATCTGTTGAGTGAAAATGTTTGTTACCTAAATCAGAAATGTAAAAAATACTGTGGGAACTTTAGGAATTAAAGAGAGACATTTTGGGGAAAGGATCTTTTGTCAGTAACATTCATCCTCTCCCATCATGGGGGTTTCTGCTTTGCCCCCCTCCCCGCCATGAAGTTGTCTTAACCATAGGAAGAGTATTAATGGAGTAGACTGCTAAACCTATCTTCCTGTATCTCATGCCAAAAATTATAAAATTACATAACTAGCATTTAAAAGCAGTATGTATTATAGCTACACTTCCTTGAGTTTAACACCTGTGACTTATTTTTTTTAACAGAAGCAATGACCTGGTGTACCATGGGTACTCAAGAATTATTCCTTAACTAAGGAAACGATCTAGCAGAGGAAAAGCTAAGCCATGCCCGGGTGCCCTAGAGACTCTCAGCCTCCTCCCTTGAGCTAGATGTGCCATGAAGACCCAGGGAACTCTGAACAAGCATGCACACTCACACACAAGCTCCGTCTTGTTCTAGACAGGGAATCAGACCATTTCCAAAGTTGCTGGGGAGAAAGAAGAGACTCCAAGCATGGTGTGAGGTCCCAGGCTGCTGCGCTAAGCCTGCTAGTCTCATGATGAGAAGGGCAGCTAAGGTTTCTCACCTGTGAAGCACAGCAAACTCTCAGAGATATCTAATATCAAAACCACGTGCATTTAAGGTGAGTAGTCATGAACACAGTCGGCTTTGGGAGAAAAAAGTCCTGTTAAAACTAAAATCCCAGCTGATTTCCAGAAACACACAGCAGGGAACAAATTATTACCAGGCCAGCCCTCCAGGCCAGAGGTCCTGACTTAGCTCTCTCAGAACCCTCTTGCCCAACTGAAACAAACTTATTTTAAAGGGTCTGTGTTCCCTATCAATGCAGACAGACGTTTGAAAGAGACTTTAAACACTATGCCTTGTTACAGGGATGAAAATTTGAATGTGTGCTTTTCCCCAATGCTTCCAACTCCAAGAA